CGTTGATGAGGAGCAGCCTTGACTCTCGGACGGTGTATCCCCAGCAGGAACTGCAAGAAATTCGGTCTGACGACCCGGCAGATGAGCTGCGCACAGTTCCAAAACGGAATCCAGAAGGGAACCCCAGTCCCAGGACACCTGGTTTCCTTGTTGTGGAAGGTTGGGGATGGGGAGGATGAGGATGATGATCGCTAGATACACCCGTCTCTGAGCTGCTACCAGAGAGCCGCGAAACCGACTGATCTCTGCCGAGCTCGGACTTGCGTTTACCTTTGGTTTTAGTCCTCTTGCCTTCATCGTCCTTCTTCTGGGCTGGAACAAGTATTGTAGATTTGTTTTCCTTCTCCGTTGGTTTTCCATTGGTCCAGCTAGACAATCGTGCCACCGAGCGCATGGAACGCATGGCACGTATAGCGATGGAGCCAGTCGCCGAGTTTGGAGGAGCGAGAAGAGGAGGCGTAGGGTTGTCCTCTGGTGCAGGGTAAGACGGGGCAATGACACTGGGGAGATCATGGAGAAGATCGATGCCTTGGATGGGAGACTCCGACGCAGAAGCAGAACGGGGCTGTGCTTGGCGCTCAGCGGTCTTAGAGGCGGCATTTAGGAAGGAGGCGGGAATCAAGAGAGTTGAAGCGTGCTCGGGAAGCCGAATTTTCCGTGATAGTGCTAGGAGCTGGATATTGTTGCAATATGAGCGTCAACTTCCGGCAGGTGTTAATAGATGTCCCACCGTCGATTTGTGCGTCCTTCTCAACAACTCTCTTGTCCTTGGAATCCTTACGTCCCCGACCAATGGTCCACCATTTCTCCTTGTCTTCGTTCTTCAATCGAACCGTCTGTTTTGTGTCTTTAGTCTGCGTAGAGTTAGTCACTTCGCCCAAGGCTCCCCACTTCAATGCGCTTAAGGATGCACGACTTTTCTTTTTTTTGACCATAAGGACCTCATCAGTGCCGTCGTGAGGCTGGGGGATTGGGTCAACATAGATTTCAAAGCCGGCTTTGCCAACAGAAGCGGTCGCAGCGCTTCCCCCAACACGACGTACGACGTCGGAGAGATCGTGTTTTCCATTAGTCTTGCTACCTTTCCCGGAGACTAGAAGGCCCAGCTTTGACTTTTTTGGAACAAGGCGACGTTTGGGCGCTTGGGTATCTTGTTTGGGAGCAAGAGGAGTGGGAGGAGAAGGTGAGGGGGGTTGTGAGGCAAGGGGGTCTCCTAATGCTTGTACTGAGCCTACGGCAGATGGGGTTGCAGAAATCAAACGAATTGTTGGAATATGTTCAGGTGTCGTTTGCTGCGGCAATGTAGACAGTGTTCGTGTTTGATCTGGTGACTGTGCAGGAGAGCATAGAGGCAAGGTGCTTCGCATGTCGGGAGAAACGTGAAGTGTCGTATCGAAAACGTCGTGAAAGAGAGGCAAGCGGGCCACTGCCAGTGAGTGGCTTGGACGTTGAGATGTTCTCAACCCGAACCCGAACGAGAAACCAGAAGCCGACGAGGAATGGCCAGTTCAAGTTACGGCAACATGTAAATACGCGCATACAAGCTTGTAACACGCTAGTCACGTGATCGCGAATGGCACGACTAGTGGTCCATGGACCAACGATACAATTTTACACCCCCATCAGGCCCTCTCTGCCCGCGTTATCTACTGTATGGGTGGTGGTCGGTCTGACTCGGAAGCCGGAACAACGTACATAATGCCAATAAACGACACCAGATCACCCACTTCCCCCTCCTGAGCAACCCTCTGCGATTCCGATTGACCCAGTCGCTATTATCCCTCAAATGTCCATCCCGTAAGCAGGAATTGGTCTTCTCACTCACACACTCTCTGATAACCCTCCCTCGCAGATTTCCGTAAGTGCCTCTATCATTTTCCAACTATCGTGTCTCTACCCCGTACGGATTCTGCAGGCAGCCCCAATATGCGCAACCAATCGCAAGGCCTCCCTCGGATGCACCAACTCTGATTCAATTTCCTATCACGTATGTTATGCGTCCCGTGTTCGTGGCTTCATTAAGTACAAGTGTCATAGAACCGGCCATCTTCTTCCTCCGGGCCCCATCCCTAAGTGCGTTCATCTCATATAAAATCTTATACCCATTGATCCGTCCCTCATGCCCAGTTCTCGCGGACATCGCTCTCGCTCGCATTCACACTCCAGCAGTCACCGTGATCATCACCACCGTCATAGTCACAATCGCACTCGTTCCAGCTCGCGAGCGCCAAGCCCAGCACCGTATGATTCTCTTAATAACAGTTCACTCCTGACCATTCCTGACGTATACATAGATCCCCAGGTTTCATACCATCACCTAGTCCAGCGCCAGTGTGCGTTGACATTCTTCCAGACACCATAACTATTCCTAGCGAGCTGACGTCTTCATGTTCTCAGCGTACAGGGCCATCATTATCGCCCGCGTACGCATTCTCACTCTAGCGACAATCACCACCACCACCACCACCACCACCGCCACCGGTCCCGGTCCTCTCAAGAGCATAGTCATTCGCGCTCCCACTCTCACAGCAGGCATCGAAGTCACAGCATAACTCATGCCCCTCCGATGCTCATCTCGCGCAAGTACCTTCTATTCCCCTAATGTGCGCCCATGCTCAAAGGAATTACAGAGCACTCAGAGCCAATTGCACCCTACATGCTGGTGCCAACAACAGCATACCCCGCGTCCGAATACCAGCAACCATATGTGACGCAGCCCAGCTACGGACCGACGCTTCCTCCTGCCGCTACCGCCTTTCCCATGCCGCCGACACCGGCAGCAACCGCGTCGCACGGCATTCCCTCTCCGCGGTTCCCACCCACTACTCGTGCGCCCCCGGCGCCATCTGCCCCTGCGCCGGTACAGACTCGTGCGCTTCGCGTGCCGCATATTTCACGCTCACAACCACGCAAGTCGCTGTTAGCTCAGGAAGTAGATGCGAAGGCAACGTCCTACGGCCTGCATTCCCATCCACTATTCCGTCACTCGCGGTGCACGGGAAAACGAAAGGCTGTTTGCGTACGTGCCCCTCCCCGGTGCCTTTGATTGCTGCTTAATGAGGATATAGGTGGGCATCAACTACACTGGACAAAAGAACGAACTTCAGGGATGTGTGAACGACGCCCAGAACATATTCCGGTTTCTTACAGGTTTGCATCGCACCCTTTCTAATACCATGAAGCTGACACAATCGTCGAGTAGAGAAATACCGATATTCCCGCTCTAACGTTATTGTGCTCACTGACGACGCTACAAACCCGCGTATGCAACCCACGCGAAAGAATATGCTAAACGCAATGCGATGGCTCGTTGAAGATGCGTGCCCTGACGACGCTCTTTTCATACATTGTGAGTGGGCTGAAGTGCTGAAACGTCATTTGATGACCGTTTGCCGCAGATTCTGGACATGGTGGCAGAACGCGCGATCAGAACGGCGACGAAGATAGACGGATGGGATGAGGGTAACACTATTCAGTCGTTGATTTTCCTTCCGGGGCTAAAGATGCCCAAAGTCATCTTTCCAGTCGATTACAAGACAACTGGAATCATTTCGGACGATGTGACTACCCCATAATCCCTTATACTCCTTACGGTGAATTGACCGTACCTTGTAGGAATTGCATAAAGTATTGGTACGTATGAGTACTGGTGAGATGACGATAACCTAGCCCTGAGCCTTCGCATCAACAGGTAGACCCCCTTCCACCGGGCTGCCGACTCACAGTATGCAATCTTCGTTCACTACCTTGTTCCCCCACTGACCCACATCACAGAGCGTATTTGACGTGAGTTCTGACACTCTACGCCGGAGTAGGCATTGATTCGCTGTGTAGTCCTGCCATTCGGCTTCCGTCCTAGGTGCGCATTTTGACTTACTTAGCGCCACTCTGGCTGAAAAATAGAAGATCTACCTTTTGAGGTATTTTGAATGATCTGGTCCGCTTATTCTACGCTTAATATTACTGGTGATACAGTATCATTCCAATGGGCAACTGAAATCGAGTCCGGTCTCACCCGCATTCCTCAATGCAATGACCTCTCCAGCTGATGTGGTATGTTCAAAAGCGTTTTCAGTAGGAAAGTAAGAAATGTTTACCGATAACTCGTAGGTCAGCTTCAGCGGTAGTATGGACACGCAAACGAGCGCCGATGTTGTCCAGAATGGAGTTGCCGTAGGTGCAATGAGCTATGTGGGTGACAGTCCATCCCGACAAACTAATGGCGCTGACCACCGATGCTGTAGGCTTTGCTGAAGGTGCTGAGTACGTGGTCACAATTTCGACGCTTTCTTGAATGAATGAATTATGTTCAGACCGCAATCCTCGTATTTCCTATCTCGATCTATTACGTGGCGTCCGGTGAGTGTTGTTACTTGTGACACTGCCCCTCATCCTCACACTGTGGCCGATTCTCACAGAGCAATCCTGAGTACGAAATATAGTCAAAAGCCACAATTGTCAAGCTCGCACATTATGGTGCGTGAATGAATCACGTTCTACCAGATGCTCACCTCCTGTTCTCTCAGGATATGAGTTTGCAATTTACCATGTAGCCGGGCACTGTTCGACACTTGACCTCAAGGTGCTGATTTTTGCTCAAGTATGTTTTGCTGTTGGTGTCGCTTACTAGCCTAGTTCTCTTCAATGGTTTGTTTCCGCCAGGGTAACAGTATCGGAGCTGATAATAATGGGCACTAGTGAGAAGTAGCAGATAGTAAGTTACGTAGAGTTTTATGCAGGTGGTGACGGTGCCACGTGGTGTTCTGTGCTGTACCCCAAGACTCACCCTAATGGATTTGAAAAAAGACAGATGATAGGTTCCTGGTTTACGTTTTATGACTTCTTGTATGATGATAAGCTAGCTGTGTCATATTCTAATCATTCTCAGTGCAGACAGGTTGATGGACCTATGGAGCTGAGTCATTTGTCGAGTCATTTGTGGCGAAACGCAACTCGTCTTCGCGCTGGTAGCGCCCTGCTGGCGATAAACAAAACGATGCATCCCTGGCAGGGAGTCGAACCCCGCTCTCGCGTGGCCAGATGGATGATAGGCGCATGTACTAATCCGATATACTACCAGTGACTGGGAAAGTGACTGAATTATATGAATATGAGACGCGAAAGGCATAATGCCTGACTTCTATGGAACGAGAAAGTGGACTTTCAGGTCGCCATTGGAAAAACCGGGTGCTTTCTCTGAGGATGCGGACTTTACACAAGCGCCGGAATGCCTCAAACCGATGATATCAACAAAGCGTGTGTGGTATACCTTTTCGCTGGACGACGCGATGATCGTGACGGATGCATGTGATCTCTCACGTGATGCACGTGCTGGATAAGACGCGTCCCACACCCACACACTGGCACGAGCCACGGCGCGACTTGTGCTCTTGCCAGTGGTTGTGTGCCCATCATTCGAGGGCGACCTCATTGGCAGGCCTCAGGCTCTCTCAGCGTCCTTCTCAAATGCAGTCGAATCTTCGATATCCTAGAGTCAATGGTGCCACATAGATATTCTCTCCCGGTACAACCTGTTCCTTTAACTAATTCGGGTTGTAACAGGCTACCGGTTGATCCAGCAAGTCGGTGGTGGTGGCTTCTCTACGTGCGTTCAGTCGCGAATAAAAAGAGAAAAGGGAAAGAACTTATAGTCCACTATCAGCGTGTTTCAGGCTGTCAATACCGAAGACCATCGGGTCGCCGCCTGCAAGGTTGTCGCACTGACACCCAAAACCACCCAGGCTGAACGCAAGGCCCTTGACAAGGAAATGCGCGTGCACGCTGCCCTAAAGCACAACAACGTTCTCGAGTTTTTGACCGCAGTCGTTGTGGAAACCGGAACAGACTCGCCATATGTCCCAGCGATCTACATGCTCCTCGAGTTCGCGGCCGGTGGTGACCTCTTTGATAAAATCGGTGCGTCTTCCCGGACCGGTTCTACCTGCCTCGAGCTGAATCGCCCCCCGGAAAGCTCCTGACGTCGGGGTAGGCGAAGAAGTGGCCCACTTTTATTTTCTCCAACTACTCTCCGGCCTAGTACGTTCCACGGCCGCTGGCAGCGCGCACAGCAGGACGATAGGCTGATTTCCACTCGGGAACGCCGTCCAGAATTACGTCCACGTAGAAGGCGTGTGCCACCGGGATCTTAAGCCCGAAAACCTTCTCCTTGATGCCGCGGGGACGCTCAAAATATCGGATTTTGGTCTTTGTTCGGTATACAAACTCAAGGATTCGGGGAGGACCCGAATGCTTTCAGAGAGATGCGGAAGCCTGCCATATGTCGCCCCAGAAGTATGCTGCCAGGATGACTTTGTCATGTACCAAGCCCTGATCGATGCATGCAGCTCAACTCGGACAAGGCCCTATGCTGCCGAGCCTATCGACGCCTGGGGGGTCGGTGTTATCCTCTTTACCATGATTGCCGGGAGTGCGTAAGACTACCCGTCATCGAGGAGAGGGCGGTGTCTCACCCGACTTTAAAAAGATACGCCCTGGGACGAACCATCAGCGCGCAGCTATGAGTTCAGCCGTTATGTCTCGGGCGCATTTATCGACGACGCTCCGTGGGACCGAATCCCCGCGCCTGTCTTTTGTGCGTCGCAGTCGTTTACTCGTGATGCGTTTCTTACGCACCCATTCCCTCTAGCTCTGATCACAGGGTTTGCTCACCGTCAATCCACAGGATCGCATGTCGCTAGCAGACGCATTCCAGCACCCTTGGGTGCTCACGTACGTATTGATCGCATTGTGAAACCTCCATCCATCCTAATGCTTATCATCCTGGTCGCAGACAGAGCCAACTAGCTTCACAAGGTCCTGTGGCCCTCGCGGAGAGGCTCACCCAATCTCTCCGCGATACCGGTGATCTTGACCTTATAGAGGTCGATATGCAGACGTACGTTTTACATGCCTAACACAGAAACGCGAAGGCCTTCTCTCAAGGTCTGACGTGCACAGGGAATCACCATCTTCGGTCCAGGACGACGACCAAATCATGCTTTCGGCGACGCGGGGATCGCAATTCATTCAATCTCTCATGCTCTTCGTTCGTTCATCTGCTTGCCAACAGTGGTGCTCCCTCTCATCCCTCTTCCTTCAGTCGCAAACGCAAGGCGGAACGCGCTATACGCCAAACCTCACGCGCTTCTGGGCGTCTATTCGCACCACCCGAACTGATCGTCGCTATCGAAAGGGGTCTAGGGGGACTATCTGTCCGCGCTGTGCGGGCACCTAATGGGCCGAATGGCGAGCTGCGCTGCCGTATCGGCGCATTTGACGCCCGTCGTGTCCCGTTCAAAGGCTGGGCGATAGTCGAGCCTTTCATAACGGCGGATGGGAGTATGCGGAGCTTCTGTATCATGCAACGTGATGAGGTGATTCTTCCCCCCCTACATCCATGATACAAATATCAACGACGAGGCACACAGGGTGATCCTATATCCTGGCGGAGGGTGTTCAAGGCCGTCGTACAATCACAAGAAGTAGCACCGTATCTCCTCCGCCGGGGGGTCAAGGGGTCTTGAATAAAACTTTAGGAATACCATGATCTGACCAATTTTGCAATGTGTCTGATCTCTTCATCTCGGGTCTATAGAAAGGGTATTGCTGTTGATGATAGGGCAGGATTGCTGCACAACGGAACACAGTAGTATAGTGCTAGATAGGGTTCTGCACCCCAAGACGTTTCATAGAGGTATCGCCGCCAAATACCAGTCTACGTGCTACAAACTCACAAGAGACTCGATCGACATCCCTCAATATCGGGTACCACGAACAGTGTTGGCGCTCATTGCCTGGTTGATGTCTGCGAGGTCTTCAGCTGTCAGTCCGATATCACCCGCCGCACAATTCTCGATCGTACGCCTGGCATTACTGTGTGTGCGATGAGCCGAGGACATTGGGGCAACGCGCAATGGAGACGTACGAGCTGCCTGGGATGGGTACGACCCTCGGTCCAAGTGAGGCCACCCATGCGATACATAGCTGGGCCGCGGTAATGCCCTTCTTAGCTGCAATTGCCTCTATTGCCGAAACAAGGGCAAGGTTATGGTTGAAGTTCTAGACGGCAGAGGGTACATTAAACGGCGGAGGCAATAAGAAGACGAGGTGACTCACATCTTTTTGGAAGCGGCTAAATTGGCGTAGCATGTTATCGGCTGGAATGATGTTGGTTGATCGCCAGACGAGGGAATACGAAAGCACGCACGCTCAAGGTCTTTGTAGGACTTCCATTTTCCAGTTAAGAAACCGTGTCCCAGAGGCCTAGAACAGGGTGTTGGATATCCGGATACACGGGCGTCAACAGAGTACCCACGAATATGCGATGACGGCAATTCCGAGTTCTTCGCATGTAGAAATGACTGTGACGTATAGGTGAGGTCAATGATTGAGGCAAAAGCGAGCCGTTTGCGAACCGTCCTTCGTCTCTTGGGTGTAGCTCCACGGGCTAACCTCAATTTCAACGGCGGCGATTGGATGCCCCTGGAATGCACGATAAGGACAAGTGACGTAACTGATTCAGAACACAAGGAACTGCGCGCTTACCTTGTGCGCCTCACGGACGTGTTCAGCGCGAACTTCAGACAGACCGATGTGGTCAAATTTCCCTCGCGCGATGAACTTGCCCATGACGCGTGTGCTTTGTTCGAGGGGAACACCGTGTATGACACGTGCGGGTTCGAACAGATCAAGTTTCTTTGTCCCACGAAGCTTTGCGAGTATGAAATTGACTTTTCGTTCGATTGCTGCTTCTCTGTGGTTTTAGGCGTTGACCTCCTGATACGCGCAGGTAAAGGGGAAGGGGAACGTACAGATCTCCATATGGATTGAACGACATGCCGCACTGCGTCAAGTATCAAGACAGGTGTACGCGCCAAGAATCAGCACTGCGCACCTTGACAGAAAGGAACGCCTTGTCAGCATATCCTGGGTATCGCTCGAAGAAACGCGCGAGAAGCTCGAGATTGGCGCTTGGGGGATTGATGCCGTAGAACTCGCCTGTATGTCGTAGGTGGGTAAGAATACTACATGTATATGGATACTCGTGTACGCACCACTGTTAAGGAACATCTTTGCGCCAGGTGGGAGACTATCCATGCCAGCCTTCAACGACGCGAACGCGTCTTCGTCAGAAATTGGTGGATCACGCCATCTACGGACAGAAGTGAGAGAAGAGTGATGCAAATTCAAAAGATGTACAGACGTCATCATCATCAGACCATGCTGAGGATTAGAGGGGTCAAACAAATGGGGGATGATCTGAGAGGGAAGCGTATACTGACACCAATCTTTCCAACGGTAACATTAGAGGCGGTACCCCCGAGTTGAGCGGATTTAGTGCCAGTCATGATGGGTGGGATCGAGGAAGAACGAGAGGAGGCAGAAGTTGATTTCTGGAGGGAATAAGAATGAAAGAGAACAGCGATCAAGACGAGGACGGGTACCGTTGTGAGAAGACGTTTGAACCATCTGGGAGACATTTATAACCAAAGGACGCGAGCGCGTCACTTATAATTTAAGCACCGACCCACACAGTAGGTATGTAATCCTGTCTACGTGATCACCATGCATTATGCAATGTGCATTATTCATCATGTCTTGAAAACTATAATCAAAATCAACAGGACAAGTATCAGCAACCCAATCATCAGTCCTGACCCTGATTTCTTTCGTCAGCCGAAAACAAAACACAAACGTGTCTTTACTTACCGTGTTCCTTCGCGCCTTTCGCAACCCGTCCAAGTTGTTGACCGGCCCGGCTCAACCGATTCCCAGTGTTGTCCAAATCATGATCCAGCTCTTCCAACAACCCTGTGTGCACCTCCAGTTCGTCGTTAATCTGCATTGACAAGTCACGCTGGCGGGTGATCGAGTGCGAGAGGGAATCTAAATGCACATCCTGATCTGTGCTCCTCGTTGAGAAGGTAGAACTTCACTCATAGTGAGACTGACATGACACGCACCATCCATCAGGCGTCGTTGCTCCTGTAACAGAAATGCGGGGTCCCGCCCGGCCTCTGGGTCGTCCGAGTATGGCGTAAAATCGTGTTCCCCTACGTTGGGCCACGCCTTTTTCGGCTTCTC